AAGGGAAGGGGAGAAGAAGGGGGTATGTGATGTTGACGGTGGATGACAATGGAAGTGGCCGGTTGTGGCAGTATTACCACGCGCTTGGATTTCGAATTGCACCTTCCTTAAGCAGCGACGACTGCCAGATCATGCTTCGACCGATCGAATGTTGGAAGAGATGACACGATGAAAATCCAGTTGTATCATAAAAAATCTCAAATAAGAATGCGAGTGAGACTCGACAAAGTAGAACACGCAGGAAAGGGAATACTGGCAGGGCAGGAAACGACGGGATCGCGCTTGCACAGGGCCCTTCTCCTTCCTTCCCTCCTCTCTCGATCAACAGCAATGCTCATTCCTTGCGTCTTTCAAATGAGTGGGTCTTCCTGGACAGCTCTCCATCATCCCTACTTCCTCCCCCCTGTACGTTCCTTCACCTTCTTTTGTGGACGTTTTCCCAAAGCCCTCGGGTGTGAGCCCGCTGGCCAGCCCACCCTCTACCCCCCCCTCTCAGCCACCACGTAAAACAACCACCGCGCTGTACATCCCTCCTTCACAATCGTTGCATCTCCCCCCCGAGCTCCAAGGCCGCCAAGGGCACCTCATGGGTCTCCTCCCTGACTATACGCCCCCCCCCGCCCTCCCCCTCGTCCACGGCACGGATGATCGCCTTCCCTGTGAACGATTCCCGGCACCCCGGCTGACAGGAGAAGCCTTGGGCTGTGGGGACGTAAATGGGCGCTCCGAAGGATCCGACGGGGGCGCAGAGACTCACGGTCAGCCGGCGTCGCCCACAGCGGGAGCGAGCCTGGACCTGGAGCGTGCCGGTCGTGTACTGCAAGTGCGCGTTCACCTCGTCGAGGTCCGTGGTCCGAAAGACCCAATTGAAGCGGGGAGAGCGGAGTGTGAGGATCCAAGTGGTGGGCGCCGAGGGGCCGATTTCGAATTTTCCCCCCACCATAAGCAGGGAGACGGCCCGGTCGGGGCCGATGGCATTGCACCAAATCCAAGCTGAGGGGAAACAGTTCCCGTGGTTGCTTTCCATGTGCGCGTAGCCCTGTCCGGCGAGATGGGTGGGGGGACGCGTGGAGGGAGCGAGGGAGGGAGGCCGGGGCCGGAGGCGGAGGCTGTAGGTGGTGCGAGAGGCGAGGGAGTGGACAAAGTACCGGCACGGGAGCAGAGGGGTCCGACCCAACCATCCCTGGATACCCGGAAGTAAGACATGGTGGGTGGGGAGAAAGGGCGAATGGCCATCGTGAGGAGACCGAGCGTCAAGAATGAACACAGCATGCGAAAGAGGAGAGGACACTGCCCCTCCCTTCACCCTCCCTCCCTCCCTC